CTTCACCTCCTCAAAGGACTTCTGACAATCTTCGGACCAGTGCCAACGTTTGCCCTTGGTGAGTAACTCATTGAGTGGTCCACGCACGCTGTGCATACGTGGCAGAAATTGACTGTAATGACTGACGAGTCCTAAGAAGGACCTCAGAGTAGGCACATCTTTGGGAGGTGGCATCTTTTTTATAGCATCAATGTTTGACGGATCTGGACGTCTACCGTTCTTGTCAATTATGAAGCCAAGAAAATTAATGGAGTCCATGAAAAACGTGCACTTTTCTGGGCGAAGTCTAAATCCGTACTCTTGTATGCGATCAAGTACTAAGTGCAGCTTTCTGAAAAGGGCATCTGGGTTAGTTCCGACGACCATGATATCGTCCAAATATGCGGCAGCACCATCTACATCTGTTAGCATAGTATCCATGATTTGCTGAAAAATTGCTGGCGCGGACTTAACTCCGAATGGAAGTCGATGATACTGATACAAACCTCGGTGCGTATTTATCGTCAGTAATTCTCTAGAAGCTTCATCAACTTCTATTTGTAAGTACGCATCCGATAGATCTAGCTTGGCAAAACACTGACCCCCATTTAGTTTCGAGAACAAATCATCTGGGACTGGCAGAGGATACTGATGCGTGTTTAACGCTTCATTCAGCCCAGTAGAAAAGTCGGCACATATTCGGATCTGGCCGTTCGGCTTCTTGACAACCACAATTGGAGCCGCCCAAGAAGAGTAGTTCACTTCATAGATAACCCCAAGTTTCTCCAAACGATCAAGTTCCTGGTCAACAATTGGGACTGCTGCGTAAGCTACTGGCCGCTTTGCACGGAAAACAGGAACAGCATCGGGTTTTAAGGACAATGAGGCTTGCAACTTTGTACACTTACCAAGTCCTTCACGGAAAACAGGTGCATATTTCTCTCGAATTTGTTCGATTGCCATTGCCTTGGGGACTTTTGGTTTGTGTAAGTGTACACTTGCACAGATTTGATTAATGGGAACATCTAAGAGGTTGAATCGCTCAATCCAGTCTAATCCAAGGAGGTTCAAATTCTTGTGTGCTGTGACGAAAATAGTTCCCCAAGCGGTGAAGTTGGCAAAGCGACACTCACATTCAATCTGACCGATCAAGTTTAGACTCGTACCTGATGCGCTCTTCGCTTTATGGTTAGTTGGTTTAATGTCAGGTGAACCGATAGCTTTCCATAAGTGTTCCGTAATGACTGTAATATCGGAAGCCGTATCAATCTGCAGACGCGCTACTCTTCCGTTGATGGTAATAGTGACGAACTTTCTTCTATCTTTAACATCGTCCGTATAGTTAGCGTTTACTCTTGTCGCGAACCTTCGGTAACCTGCTTTTCGAGTATCACATGACGATCTAAATGATGTTTTGAATCTGCAGTGGGTCTCCTTGTGCCCCCGTCTAAAGCACCTTTGACAAACATGTTTGCTGAAAGGACACCATCTCACAAAATGCCATCCTCCGCATTGCCAGCATGGTGATGGGGGTTTGGCTTGTGGATATCTGCTAGGTTGAGCGGTCGGTGGGTTTTTTCCTGAAATTTGCTGGACAGATATATCTGCGGAATGTGCTTTCGAATCTTCCACCATGGCCGTATCGTGCTTTAAATTCATGATTCTTTGGGCTTCAGCAATGGCGTTTTGTAATGTAACATCTGTGTCGCGTTCCAACATACCAAGTATTCTCGTTCGTATCTCGGCGTCTTTTGGGGACTGTAGACTGCATACTAGTATCAAACACTCGAACTGGTCTTCCGTGAGCGACTTCAGTTTGAATTTCTGGCATTCACGTTTGACTATCGCCGCGTGAGCAATAAGACTCTCATTGTCCTTTTTGCATAGCTTTAGACAATTGTATCGGTTATTGAAAATAGACGACTGGTCTCCAAACAACGCTGTGAGTCGAGCAACTGTATCATCAAAGCTGAAATCATGCGCGTTGTTTGGCAAAATGTAGTTAATGTATCTGTCATGTTCAACCGTTCCGAGTTTTCGTAACAAAAGGCGAACTTTAGATGCATCATCGAGACCTGACAACTCTGCCCTGAAAACATCTTCATAGCGCCTGAACCACGCATCGAATATTAATTCTGAGTCAGGATCGAATATGAACTCATTAACACTACTGATCATCGCATCCGCCGAAGGCTTCCCATTGTTCTGAACGACCGTAGGCTGCACAGATAACATTTGGGTGAGGGTTTCAATCATACGCAGCTGTGCTGTTTCAAATTGCTGCTGTTGCTGCAACAAAATGGTTTTCAGGTCTTCCGCTGAAATTGACATCTTGATCCACTACCTTCCGTCGCCAAAAATATATGTTATGGTTTCGGCTGACCTACCGATGACCTGCTGCTAGCGTGCACTCTGATCAGCCCGACTTCCCAAAGCAGGAGACCGGCGTACGGCTGGCAAGTATATTTGCTTAACGTCCAACTAACGGTACATTCAATTTATGGCCAAATCAATAGCCCTCAGCGTAAAACGCTCTCATTGGCTGGTTCCGTCCCATTACGTTGTTTCTTCCTCTACGCTAACGGTATACAAAGGACGTTTGGACGATTCGCTTATCCACCTACATTACGCTATATAATCAGTGATGTCTACGTCAAACAAACGCGATAAAAATGGTGTCATTCTCAGCTTTTGTGCTTCACTATTTACACACTGCTGTGGTGGAATATAGTTGCGGATATATTACAACTGCATTCATCAATTTACCTCAGTCCAAGAAAGCGGCGCACGAGTAAGCGTTATCGTTTCTCTTGTTCTTAAGACATGCCTTCCCCATTTCACTTTCTATATTACTCTACAGTAGCAATTCAGTACACATTCTGAAATGTTTATATGAATAAGGGGCACCTGAATCACTAGACGCTTAAATTGACGATTTACACTTATGTTTAACTTCAACCATCCTACGGGACTTGTAAAGCAATCGCTTTTTTACCTGTAACATATCATTGTTCATTGTTCATTGTTCATCTCCATCCCACTCCTGGAATATACTTTGGATTTATTTGCTGTCACGTGTTTGTGCTGTGAAACTACGTGGATCGCCGGATTACTGCGTAACAAAGGATAAGTCCCCCTTTTAAACGTAAATAACCCACTGTTTTTTTATTTTTGATAACCCTGCAAAACCACCCAACGGGACATGTAAAGCTTTGCTTCCTTACCCATATAAATTCATAATGCATTGTTCACTGCGAAAAGCAGTAATGAAGATAATCGGGATACCAAATTAATGACGACGGAGCCGAACCAAAAGCACAGAAAACATAAGAGGAAAGTTAATCCGCAGAGCGCTTTCGCACGATAGCATAACTGGACTGAATAATAAGCTTTCAGTTAAAATATTCCACTTCTAATCACCATGGTGCCCTTAACTGAGTCACATCAGACCGCTGTCTTGGCCACTAAACCAACTAGGAAGGCGACAAGTAGCCGCGCACAGATATCCGGTTAATGCATTTCTCATGCTTTATACCTCATTTTTTGGTCAGCTTTAATCATGGACAAGTAGAACACAATGCTGTAGATGGCCGACTGCTTTTGGGAGGTTTGAATTAAACTATGCGCATGTGCTACACGGTTCAACGTCTCACAAGGCAATGTGGTGAGAGATGCTCATTGGCAAATGTTTTGCGGTGCAACAAGTGGAACTCAGTGCTTGTCTGCTGAACAAGGTTTAAGTACAAGTTGAATCTGAGTCCATGAAACTAGATCAACTGCGTATTACTCTTTGCCCGTTTGCTTCATAATGGAACCACCACCACAAAGTTAGACAGTAAAACAACACTGGAGCGGCCTTGGAGTAATTAACTCCTCCTATGGGGCCAGAGAAGTGTTTTCAACGTACTTCAAACTTATGGAGCTATAGTAAAGCGAGTAGCCGCAAGATGTATAATCCCTAAGGCAAGTATTGATCGATTCATGTGTTTCCCTGGTCTCTCACGAGGCATGTGGATACGAGTGCTCTGAATACACACTCTTGTCCCGCCTGCCAGATAATAACGCTACTCATTTCTTAAAGACATTTCCGGACTAACACGTCTAAAAAGGTCTTACGAATTCACTTACTTGACTTAGCACAACCCATTTGGGAAATAGATAGCAAAAGTAGAACACAGTTTCGCTGCAACACGGCTACCACCAGTATCGTGGCTGTTGGGGATATCCCCAGATCGCAAATTTTGTATTAGAAGCCAGACGCTTTATCTACTCGGCTAACGACGTAGTTCTAACTGCTGTAATGATTTCGTCTGATACCGTTATTTGTTTACGTAAGTTATCGTGCCTGTTGGTCGGCGAGTATCTCGTTAACTTACTGGCCAACACTGACAAGTCTGCTTTTAATTGGTTGAACATTATGCAAAATGACTACCCATTGACAGCCCCATGGTTCGCTATAATCGGCTTAAATGTATCGATTTCTGATTTTATCAGGCTTATTCCAATTTACTGGAGAACGGAAGGTTGACACCAGAATGCACCGATGTTCGTCCTTACGTCGTCGATGGTCGCGTTTACCTAGCTCGCCTGGATCACGACAATGAGTATCGCCTCTATCGTTTCTCCGTTCCGTGGTGGAAGAGCTTCGTGCCAAAAGATCGATCAGTCGCTCTTTTTTGAGTTATTGTCTAGTGGATAATCCAGCATGCCAAACGAGATCGCTATTTTATTTTTGTTTCTTCACCCTTATTCACATTTAATATGGCACATTTTAATTGTTGTAGCCTCCTTTCCCCTTTACGCTTATCCACCGTCTACAGTCTTGACGCTGTGAGTTGGAAAAGTGTCACAGATCGCACTTTACGGCGCAGTGATGAAAAACAACAGTTTTACTAGTTGCTACACATGAGTAAAAGATTGATCTGCTTACGCTTTATTATGATACGACTACATCAGACATTACTTTTTCACAAACAGTGCTCAGAGAGCCTTTTCTTCTATTCATTATGTGAGGTATCAAGGTAAAGGTGGAGTTTATGGTCGAGTTCTGAATGTGTAACTCGACAGCGCGGGCAATCTATAACGGTGAGCTGAGAAGTGACTGACAACTGCTGGTAAAACAGATATGGAAACACAGTTAATACGCTAAGCAGGCAGAAGCTAAACCAGTGTCCCTTACACGATGGCACCAGGACATGCTCCTCTGTCGTTATGATGATTATTAAGTGATCGCTGATTTTGTCCTGCAGAAACAGTAAGGCTTGTCTCGCGTGTTGAGAGTCTGAACATGGTCTTTTGGCTCACTGAGCTACACACATACGCAAACCAGGGGTACAACATATTGCCAAGCACTTGTAGAGCTTTTGATCTAGAACAGATGTCGTCAGCCGCTTGCACACAATAAGTTATATGATCACTTCTCAGCGTTGTAATTGCAGTGCACTGAGAATTCATAGGTGTTGAGTGAAGCAGCGACCCAGCAGCTTGGGCCCGCTTTTGTGTGATATATGCTTTCCGGTGGCGAAGAACTCAAGTCAAGATAAGAATCAGCCACACGTAATTTGGACGCACACTTTCAGTTGATAAGCTTCATTGATAAGCTCAATGCAAGTAAATACGAAAGGTGGTTTCTTAGATGATAGAAATGGTTATATCACCACAATATGAAGTTGGCTGTCGAATGCTAAACGACAGTTCTGATCCCTTAGCAAATGTGCTGAGTGTGGAATGACCGAAGAGCTATCAAACGGAAAAAAGCTAAGGCTTGACAAAGCCCGCAGAGTGACCTACGTGAATTGCATAAGTCAAAAAACAGTTGCCAGTAATATAAACGCGCATCTTTGGACACCATAATATTCTACTTAACACAGTAAAATCCATGTACTTTGAGTTCGTAGAGACTGGTGGGTCACGTCGACACTCGAGAGGTGGAATTCAATTCGCATAATACAGTTAGTGTAATGCATCGTACAGTCATTTTATAAAGATGCGTAACGTGAGGCCAGGTATAAAAATGTCGGAAGAGCATTTCACAGCTGATAACTTCTGATAGGGAAATATCCGGCGGCATCGCAGCCGACTGTATTAAATGGCAAGTTCTAGCTGGTGACCCATCAATTTTGTGTCGCGAGGAAGTTTCAGTTGCTATCGGCAAACAAGACTAGGCTTCCTTTGCAAGCCAACACCAATGGAGGTGGCATGTAAGCTGCTAAGGCGAGTACTGATTATTTGTTAGTAGTAGGGGGATTTAATAGGTTTTTCTGTAGGTTGGTCGCGGTTAGACCCAGGCAGACAGCCACCACACATCCGGGTGCGCGCTACTGACGAGTCCCAACAGGACGAAACGGCCGTCTAGCGCTTTCCTGGATGTGTGGTGGCTGTCTGCCTGGATCTAACTGCGACCAACCTACAGAAAAACCTATTAAATCCCCCTGCTACTTACGATTGACTAGGCTTTTTCAGAGTCAGATACTCCAGAATGTGCTCACCCTGTAGACGATGGAAACAGCCAATGTGCACTCTAAGGCATGGCATGACAGGTGAAACAAGCCGCACAAATGGTTGATTGCTCTTTGTTGTGGTGTCCCGAATACAGCTATTAGTGCCGCTTAGATCGACACTAGTTGCGAAATGATGTTAGCCACGTATATGAACGATACTATTACCCAGATAACTAAATAAATAAATAAATTGTGTATTCTCGACTAAGCGAGGCGCGCCTGCGCAGGCATGATCACGTGATAGAGAGGAACGTATCGCGTGTTGGACTATGATGGATGTGATTCCCTATCAGGTCTGGTACGACTGCGTACAACGGCGGCGAGGAGCCTGAGATGGTGGATGAAGACAAGCCGATCTGTTATCCAGTCTTGCAGTTGTGTGTGGTTCAGCTTGGTGCTGCCTAAGTTATGTCCGTTTATTTGGTGGGTCTGAAATAAAGTACCGAAAAGTTTTTTATGACGTGGTTGAAGTTAATTGTTTCTGTAGTGGGTTTCATCAGAAGACGCCGCCTAGAGCCGGAGTTCAGATGATTTTTCTGCGAAGCCCACACCAGTAGTATAATACACTCTCTGACCTCTGTCTGAATTAAAGCACCATTGAGGTTGGCCCTTTCTTCATGCGTCTGTTTTAACACTGTGGTGAGTCCACCAAAACGATTCCCACTTTATCACTGTTTTATATTCACCAGGTTGTGGTCTCTTTCTGGCCATTCTACGGGACTTGTTAAGCATCCGCTTTTTGTCCCCAATATACCACTGTTCCATTGTTCCATCTACAACACGATTGGTCCACCAAATGTGGTTTACCTATCAACTTTGACTAATGTCGTGTCCTTCGGAATAATGCGTCAGATTCACTTGGCACCTAATATATTAGGGGTTTTCTCCTCAAGAATGCTGCCCGGGAGGAAGACCTAGGTGTATTAATTGTCTCCGACCAAAAAACCACCCAGGACACACTAAGAAGACAGACTGCTGCTACTATGACATTTGGTGCCTTAAGAAGATTATTCTTGTGGATGACACCAATATCTTTAGACTACTAAACATCTCTCACGTACGACCTATTCTTGAGCAAGGTCTACCGGCTACGTCTCCGCTTTCAAAGCTAGAATGTACCCTTATAACAAGGGTCCAGAGATGAGGCTCAAACTTTGTCTTTGAACTTCGGGATTTCACCTGCCCTCTTCGACTCCAAGAGATGAACCTCTTATCACTGGACTACCGTCGCCGCCGTGTGGACCTCATCTTTACCAGGCGCATAATAAGATGCGAACTTGGAAATGAACTGCGGCAGTATTTTCAGCTCAATATAGGAGGTCCAACACAGGGTCACAATTGGTAACAACTTAAACCGAGATACTCGGAGTCCGCTCCACCCTTGCCCTTTTTACTCGGGTGGTAAATGCCTGGAACAGCCTCCCATAAACCGTCGTCAGCGCACAGACTAAGGAAAGCTTCAAACAGCTTTAGGATTCCCATCTGCGCAAGAGGTCTGAACAGCACTGTTCCTGTGCGACTTCCCTGGTCCTTTGATTGCTGTTTGGTTGCTAAGGTGCACTTGCTTCTCCCGTTGAGCTAAAGGCGACGGGGATAACATGGGACTTACCAACTGTCCTCTACAACTCAGCGAACACCCTGTACGTAATTTATCTAAGTTTTCTTATCGTTTACTATTAGCGCTTCCTATTTGCCAGCAGAAGTCGGGTTCTTGGTTGCTTCCGCATTCCGCCATGTGGCACAGATTGGTGACCCTGTTATATTTCCTGTTGGTAATGCCACCACTTTTTGCAGACTTACACATTTTGTGCGTACCCAATTTCTGTACATTTTACTGGGTTTTGCTTCCGAAGCTATGGAGCTGGAGTTAACTACTATGAACAGTATGTTTTTTCCCCAATTATTACGGTCGCTACCGTAACCGGCCCGTAACCTAAAGGTGATAAGCTTGTCTTGCAGTCTGACGGCTCGGGTTCGAGCCTGCGTGGTGGCAGAGCGACCCTCGCAGCATCCTTTGCTCACGTGCGACCGGTGATGGTTTCGCGGCAGCGAAGCCTCGGTACTACGCACCGGAGTATTGCTGATACTTCTATGGGAATGCCATCCGCGAACATCTTTTGCGCAGTTTGGTTCCAAATTTTACTTCACGACGACGAATCAGTAGTGACGAAGATCTATTTCGTGGTTTCTGTCCTTCTATGAGTTAAACAATATATAGAATCTGTTTGACGAACAGAGCAAACTAACGCATCCGAGCGGCAGTTTTGAAACTATTCGATCTATCGGACTGCGAACGCACTTTGGGACTCCGTGATGCCAAGCATTTCTATACTTTAAGCTCACCCTAGCTCTTTCAAAAAGCAGAAACGTTCTCCAAGTTTATCTAGGAAATGATGCAGCATCGGCTGCCCAAAGATATCATCAAAATTTTTTGTGTCACTCCGGATATGAAGCCAGCACACGCGTCGGAGACTGTTGAGAGAATGTGGGGCAACTACATCTGCGGTTCGCACGTTGCCGCACCCCGCAATAATCAAGTCGCTTGCTTCGACCAAGTTAACCAGCTGCAGGGACGAGTTACTCCTATGACCACCGACGATTAACGCTCCATGTCCCGTCGCGCTTCTCGCTGTAAAAAGCCGCAAACACACACGCGCGTCCGCTCCGCAGCAAGAACGAATGCAAACCGTTGCTGGTGTGATCGGTAATACGGATCTGAAACCCGCTCGTGTCGACTTCCCTGTTCCTTCGCTAACAAGAAGCATGTGAATGGGTATAGTAATCCCGCAACAACTGTCGTTGCTGACCAGGGCAATCGATTCTTTCGGCTCACTGACCTCAGGACTGGAGTTCGCTATCTCGTTGTTATTAGCGCGGTAATGAGCGTTCTTCTACCCAACACCATGGACAGAGTAAACGAGGTGACAAGGAATGGGAGAAAGCAGCTCCACCACTCTCAACTTCGGATGCGGACCTAGTGAACAAAACGGCATAGGTTTGTTTCAAAGCAAACTGTAGCCTCAATCGGGATTGCGAGTTGTAATCCAGGCACAGGTGGGTATTCCAACGCCCAATAATGAGGTGACCAGGTACATGGGTGCTGCTAACGGAACGACAATTCCCGTTTATAACCAACGCTACTGCAAACACAACCACAACCACAACTTTCGGAATTTTGGCGACGTTTCGTTCACGCAAAGTTACCAAACTAGGTCGCATCTGAGTGTGAAGCCTTGGTACTGGATGGATGTGAAAAAGTGCCAACTTACACCATCTATCTGATAATCAGGGCGCTACGTGAAATGTCACCGATAACGACAGCCTAAGTATAGAAAGAACACCATTGATTTTTACGTCCTAAGCGCAAGGTCATGATCGTTCAATCATAATGTAAGACTATCCAGAAAAGTTTGCAAGTTAAAGCATCGTCATCATCATCACACACGTTAGCTAGAGGTGGCAAACACCTCAACTACTGTGCCGAAAAACATACAAAAAGGGAAAAGTGCAACAGGTGCAAGCCATCTGAGCTACCGGTAACGGATGGGCATCGCTCCGGTAAGCTACTAACCGGCTACTATGCGAAATTCTATAAGACTAAATAGTGAGATCGTGGTTGGAGGGGGAGACTAAGAGG